GGGGTGGAGGAGAGACGTGCGAGAGTGGGAGGGAGCGAGTGGGGAGTGGGGTAGGTTAGGGTTGGGTGTCCAGGGGGATATGGAGTGGGGGTGGGCTTGGCCGGTTGGGCCGGCCCAGTTGGGTCGGTTGGTTCGGCGGCCAGCTGGCCCGAACGGCCCAGTTGGCCAAGGTTTTTTTCTTTTATTTATTTTCCTTTCCATTTTAAATCTTTTTAAATGTCCAGGCATTTAAAAAAAACATTTTCTACACAATAATTGCCTAATATTTGACACTAATCGAACAATTTTGTTTTAACATTTGAAAACTTTTGTTGTTTGACATTATTTAAATTTTAAATTTGAAAAGTTTCAAACCGATGTGAGATTAAACAGTGAACCAGGTGACCTGGCATATTTAGCAGAGATTTACTGTAGCCTAATTACCCGAACGTTACAGTACAATATGTGCAAAAATAGTATACATTGAAACCATATATTTGACAAAAAAATTATCTAATATTTAGTAAGTTTTCAACGTGTACAAAGAAAATGTTTCAGATATGTGCAAAAACTAATTCACGAAATATATTAATCACTTATTAAGAAAATGTTCAACATGTACAAAATAAGTTCTAGTTTGATACAAAAAGAGAGAAAAACTGATGAAAACCGACAAATAAGCAAAGAAAACCAAATAATAATAATAATAATAGTAAACCCCCAAAGAGAACTTGTGCAAAGCTGTGTAAATAGTGAAAACTAACAAGGAAATAAATAATAATAAAGAAAATGATGGAAAACTAAAAATAAAGAAAGAAGCCAAAAAAAACCCTGAAGAAAGCCGATGCAAAAAATGAAAATAGTGAAAACCAATGAAAAATGAAGAAAACACCAAAGAAAAACATAAATAAATCTTTCCCTAATCTTTCTCTAATAATAAAGCACGAATTGACTCCGTGGGTTCACCGTCACAATATGCTTCTTCACGTGAATTTACGCTTTCAATTCGAATTTAAAACATATAAGCGAGGTGGTACTAATCTATAGAAAAATAAACTAACGGCTGAAGAAAAATAGGGCACAACCCTCTCTACACGCACACAAACCAAACCGGAGATAAACCTTCCTGTACACGCACGCGAAACTGGTACTGAAAGACAAAATCCCAATAGAAGCCCACATGTAACTAGCCAGAGTCCAAACCGCCAACTCAATCCGGACGCCTCACGATTCCTTCCCCTACATACCCACACGCATCGTCCCCAATTATATTTCCTTTTTATTCGGGTGTTGGTGGAGTCGAGCGCTGAGACGACGAGCAGCAGCCAGAGCTGGAAGAAGGGCCAGAAGCCACCCGCGATTGCCTGCACCCGCAAATGGACCGGGCCTTGGGGGTAGACGCGGTCTGCATGGCGGGCACCCTGAACCGCGCGGCCTGGCGCCGAGGCTGAAGCCCGCGAACGGAGCCTGCATGGTTGTAGCTGAGGACGATAGCGCGCGGCATGATGCAGCTCAGGTCGGAGGAGGATCCGGTTGCGGTCGGAGTGGAAAGAGGACCATCAAGGCCAGCAGCGGCGAGCAGCGTGCTGCGCTGGTGAAGGAGCGCACTAGCTAGGTGGGATGAACGGACGAGGCCGAGATCGGCGAGGCCCTGTGATTAGGGTTGCCGCCCAGATCAGTCCCTCAACGGTGGTCTATAAGTGTGAATGCACGTGGAACAACTGAAATCCCAACAGTCAGAATATGCTTTGTGTTGTCATCAAGTGTCCTAGATCTTCAAATCCTATAAGTACTACTCCCTTGGTACCAACTTAGGACTAAATCAGCGACAATTTGAGACGGAGGGAGTACTTGATTGTGTGATGTTGGATGATGATAACTGACATGGACTCCCAAAGAAATTCTCAGGTTGCCGGAGAATGTGATGTATCTTTATGCTAGCTTTGAAATGAGGCCGTCGATAGAAAATATAAGTTCCAATCATATTGTATTCATACTTCCAGGTTCAAAGATTGGTGATGCCATATGCAAATTGCACTAATAACTTGGGTGGCCATTGGCAACGATTTGGCGACCGCCACCGAGACGCTCCTCTCTTCGGCGTTATGAGCAGGAAGCATGCCTTCGTCAGTCTACCAGCGCTGGTTACTAATGCATGAGGAGTCGGACTCGAAGTCCTTGGTGTGTCCGACATGTGAACTCTCACTTTTCTCTGTTATATTACACGAGACATGAAGGATCTTTGTGCAATATTCCTGATTTCTTCCTATAGAAATAAAGCTCCAAGGCTTGAGTGTGTGACTTTTTTCTCCCGTCTGCTTGTGTGCTAGATTGGATGGATAAGCCAAAACGCAAACCGAATGGGAAAAGAATGGGAGCATATGCATTGGTTACAAACTAAAAAAAGGAGAAGATAAGAGTATGTGGTGGACAAAGCTCACCAGTTTATCGACAACTAGGTGTCGCCTTTGTTTTTTAAAGCAAGACTTCCCAAATATTATTTTGTGAATGTAAATTTGTATCTAATAAAGTTGAGTAGGTTGACTTTTACACTGATTGTGTAATATTGACACATTATTAGTAGTAGTTTTTCAAGCTTTTCTATAATAACTACTATGTTACAATGAGTTCAAACATACTCACATTGCAAGAAAAATTGAAGCTTTTGGATGCCGTCAGCCGTGGAGGGCGATGGGCGCCTACAGGGGGGCGGGGAGCTCAGAGGAGGAGGAGAGACCGAGAGGGCCGGAGGCGAAGGGGAGGGCCGGAGGCCGAGTGCAGGGGAGGGAGAGGTCGAGAGAGCCGGCCGGAGGAGAGGGACGCTTGCCGCCATCGCCTTCAGCAGTTCACCTAGATTGCGGAATGGGGATTCGTTTTCACGAGACGAGGAGCTCGGTTGGCATGGCTGCAGTTTGGGCTGGACTTAGTACATGGCCAAAAGGACAATGGACCATCGCCAAAAATAGTGCAATTTTTTTAGAAATAAAAGTTAATATTAAAAAACATCACCATAAAAATAATATCATTTTAAGAAATATTCTCAAAAAATTGAAAAACACCTTCTCAAAGAAGATAAACCTGTTTTTCTAAACAACAAAAAATAAAATTGATTGTTAAATGTTGCATAATGGCACGTGAAACAAGTTACATTTTATTTTTCGCCCGGTGCAACGCACGGGCATTTGTACTATCTCTCCCTAATCTTTCCCTAATAATAAAGCACGGGTTGAGTCTGTCGGGTTCACCGTCATGGTATTTTTGTAAGAGGCCCCTGAATTTTTATGTAATCAACCCACACCCCCTTTTTTAAGTGGCTAAACCAAAAAAGATTCGTTCTTCAACCCGCAATCCTTATTGTTGCGCTCGTCACATCTGGCGGCGGCAGCGATGCAGTGGCAGCGAGGCGGGAGGCATGCGCGAAGATGGAGGAGACATGGAGAGTCGTCCGGGGGCGAGGAGTTCGCCGGCGTCGATGCCATGGACCATGGCGACGCAGGCTTGCAGGGGGTAGCAAGAAGACGAGCAGAGGGGAGCGTCGTGGATGGGAGATGCTGGCAACGGGGCAACCGGGAACACATCGGCGAGGGCAACCGACAGCAGCGGCGCGAACTGAAAGGAGGCGGCCATGGCTTCCTTCAGCTCCAGCAGGGAAGAGAAAGAGGGTGAGAGTGGGGCGATGGGGCACAGAGGGAGGAGGAGAACGTGCGATAGACGCGGGTGGCGGCGGTGGAGGACCTCGCCGGCGGCAGCGGTCGACCGGTGCAGGGGATCGGGCGCGCGCTGCTCCTCTCCTCCTGGCGGCGCGAGGTGAGGTCGAGGGGATCAAGAGGAGGGAGGCAGACGATTGAGAATCGGGCTAGGGTTCTCTAATTGGTGGGGATAAGTGGAGGCCCGGCTGGGCCTTGGGCTGGCTGGGGTGTGCTGGAATGGGCCGGCCTGTTTTTAAAGAAAAGAAGGGATTTCCCTCTATTGGGAGGGTAGAAATCATTTTGCTCAAAAAGAGGGAGTGTAGAAATCCTGCGAGAGTTGCGTTCTTTTGTTCTACGTGGTGTGGGGACTGCATTATTGGCTGGGGAAAAGGGTGGGGTAAAGTTCCATGTAGTTTTTTAACGTGGATGGGTCATAGGTCTTAATTGGCCGACTTTAATTACTGTATTTCAGTTAACGAGAATGATATTTTCCTGCCGACTGGCAGTTAGCGACAGGCACGTACAACTCGCGAGGCGCTCGATCCGCTTCTCGCGCTCGATAAACCGCTCGTTCAGTTCTATCGCGTGAAAAAAACTATCGAAAAATAAAATGAAGCGCCAACAGGAGTCGAACCCACGACCGATTAGATGAATACCACCGCGCGCAACCAACTGGTACATATATCTGTTCTCTTTTCCTACCAGTTTAACAAGGTTTTATACCTTATTCAATGAGAATGAGAAAGAAAAACAACATTGCCTTTGACCTGGAGACAAAACCATCTAGTTCAGGTTTTGTAAGGACTGATGCATCATGCTGTACTTATCTCTCTTTTTTGTAGTGATGAACATTTTTCTAGTGAAATAAACATTCCGCTTACATTGAATAAAGTTTTTTTTCTCATGTGTCATCAAGAAAAAAAATGTTTGTTTTGAAATATCCCCTGATAAATTCTTTGTAATGAGTTTGATAATTTATGCACCACAAACCTGATAGCTTGCATACAAACACCGTTAACTTTTTGACCTAGAAAAAACCATTGAAAACATATTCTCGATAACTTCTGTGTAAATAGCATGGTAATACACGTGTCGCATACCCGATAACTGACATCTAAATATCATGGTAACTTTTAAGCCAATGGAAATTTTCTTTAAACATACCCCTGATAAAATTTGTGTAAGTAGCGTGGTAACTTACGTACTACATACCTGCTAAATTAGGTACAAACACCATGGTATTTTTGCACCATGAGGGGGGGGGGGGGCTAACATCTATGTAAAAATAGCATGGTAAAATACACAGCGTAGAGTTGATAACTAATATATGGACACAGTGATAACTTTTTGACTGAGGAAAATTGTTCAAAACATAACCCCACTAAGTTATGTGTAAATAGCACTGTAATACGCAACACATACCTGATAAGTTATGGACAAACACCGTGGTAACTTTCGACCTAGTGGATAAAAGTTGTTGAAACATACATATGTTAAGTTCTTTGTAAGTAGCGTGGTAAGTTACATATTGTAGACATGCTAAATTAGGTACAAACACCGTGATAACTTTGAACCGGAAGAAAAAAGTCGTTGAAAAGATACCCTTGGTAACATAAGTGTAAATAGCATGGTAAATTACACAGCGCGGAGCTGATAACTCATGTATGAATACCATGGTAACCTTTTTGACCCTCAGAAAAAAGTTGTTGAAACTATATCCCGGTAAGTTTTGCGTAAATAGCATAGTTTTTGCGTAAACAGACCTGATAACTTATGCGCAAGCCCCCTGATAATTCTGACTCGGAGATTTTTCTTATTAAAAATATACCCCTATAACATGATAATTTACACGCCACACATGATAACTTACGTATGAACACCCCGGTAATTTTTGTTTCTGTTAAAATAAGTGTGGAAACACCCCCCCCTCTCCCCCTCATAAATTCTAGGTAACTAGTATAACATGAGGGGCATGGAGACACCATATATCCATCCGTGAAAATTGTGCAGTACATAAATCCAAGGAAAAAACTGAAAAAGCATGTTTCCTGTACTATATGTAGAAAACAAATGTCTCAATCTAATCACTAGCTCAATCTAGACCGAGTGGTTGTAAGCTATCGTGGGCTATCAAGAGTTAGCAGGTTTGAATCCCGCTTCTGCCAATTTTTTTTATTGCGCTAGAAAAAAAAAGACACGGATGTAGCGCCAGGAGCTTCGAGGGAAGTGGATCATACGGATCTGTCGCTAACGACCAGTTCCAATGATCGAGCTCAACTCAATAATTCCGGTTTTTATCATTCGCTAACCGATTGAACAATTGAAATTTCAGTCCTCAGTTTTTTTCACTCTGGTTCCTGTTTTTTTGTCTTTGGTTCTCGGTTTTTATACTCACCCTTAGGCACAAGGGAAGGAGGAGGGGATCGAGCTGCGCTAGGGTTTGTCAGGCGTGAGCCGGCTAAAAAGGGTGGTCAGGTAGGCCGGTGTTGAGGCAAGGCAGGCAAATTGTGATAGGCCAGCTTTCGGTTCTACCAAAAATGTTTTCTTATTAACTAATAGTACTATTTTGATAATTCAGACAAGATCTCATAAATTTACATATATTCCCAAATAGACATTCAACAATCCTCTCCGGACATAAACAAAACATAGAGTGAGGTGTGGCTATAATTTTACAATGACAGACCCAATAAAGAAGGAATGCAAGTTGTGTATGGGGTTGAGATGTGTGTGGCTATAACGTGGCAATAAGAGAGTGACCCGGTAAAAAAAGAATGAACATTACATGGGTTGAGATGTGTAGCTATAACATGACAATAAAAGAGGACTGTGTGGCCATATAAAGTGACATACAAGAAAGACCTCATAAAGAAGGAACGAACAATGTTGATGTTTCCTCTCCCATTGATATACAATGCTACTCAAGATGAACAAGTCGATAATGTTGTAACTGAAAACCGTAGTTTGCCGAATCTAAAAGACCGACTGTATCATGTGCGTTTTTTCCCGTTGCAACGCACGGGCCCTTTTGCTAATAAACAAAAAGAAGTGTCTTAAAAACCAAACCATTCCAACCAATAAACAGACCGAAGAAAAAAAAGGAGCTACCGTCATCCTCCGGGCATGCAAGCGAACAAAAAGAAAACAACGACCGGGCCGGTCCAGTATCTACGCTAGGAAAAATAATCTTTTCAACAAGAACTCTCTCCATCTCACTATAAGTGAGTGTAGCTCTGTCACTGTACGATTCACCGTGATCTATCTATTCGGAGTCCCTATATAGGGGCAACTGTAACCAACTTTTAGAAACAGTTAGAGCCCAACAAAGGCCATTTGGGGTTTTAACCTAGTATAATTAAATCTCGAAGGGTTACAACTCCCTTCTTTTTTGCAAGACTCGATGAAAACTGAAGAAAATAGTGAAGAAAAACACAAAAAAGAAATAAAGAACCCGATAAAAACCAAACCAGTCCAACCAATAAGCAGACATAAAAAACACCCAACGAAACGTATACCGAGCGAGCATTATCTCCCAAGCATGCGAGTGTGCGGAAGAAAGAACGGTGAATCGGTTCCGCCCAGTAGTATGCTAGGAAAAAATATCCTTCAAGTTAGAGCTCCTTCCATCTCGCTATAAGCAAGATATAGCGCTCGCGCAATATGATTCACCGTGATTTATCTACTTGGAGTCCCTATGTAGGGGCAACTCTAACCAATTTATACAAATAGTTAGAGCCTAACAAAGGCCATTTTCGGGTTTAATCCAGTAT